AAGTTGAGGTTTACTGTCAGGGCACACACCCTGACTAGCCCGGACCTGGACCTGCATGTGTGCTCCACCCCACACGCTCCACACGCTCCGCACGCTCTGCATGCAGCATGCTCCGGGCCTGGTTCCTATTCCTCATGTGACTTCTGGGTATCCCTGGAAGTTTTGCTGATATTGTGGCCACTGTGAGAAGATGAGAAGTTAGCTTCCTTCTCATCTCCTTACCCACAGTAGGTGTTAGAATGGGCAGATTCGGATGACTCCGGAATGGAATCAGAGACTTAGCATGGAAGGACCTCAGCCTCAGCGACTCAGGCGGAGCACTGTGCCATTGCTGGTTGTCCTAGGGGTCCCTAATTTTGGATCTAGCAGAGGGAAAGTCTCTTGGGGGAATTCATGTCGATTTCGGACTGAGGTTACAAGTTACTATGTACATTGTATATAAGGAGGGGTCCGGAATCAAAAGGAGCGAGGGTACTCCGAAAGGAGACAAAGGGAGCTGGAAAGAGGAACAACACCAAGGGTCAAGGGTTTGACTTAATGGTGTTTCCCAAAGGAGGAGTGAAGGGCCAAGGCCCAAGGAGGAAGGAAGGAGGTTGGGAGTGGGGAATGGCTAGCTGACTGAATAGAAAGGAAGCAGCAGCCCAAATAGGAATGAGGGAGAATAGCGGAATTGAATAGGACAATGCAATAGTTGCAAGGTCCGAGGTAAGTCCGGAAAGTCCGAACTCGGAAGTTAAACTCCGGAATATTGGCAAAGGTAATTAAATGGAATGAGCTAACCAATACAATGGGTATAAGCGGAGGTGGGGTCAAAGTCCGAGGTCGGAGCTAAGACCAGAGGTTCCGGAGACAGAGACGCAAACGGGATTCCGGAGCAGAGGTCCAGAGTCGGGAGCATAGGTTTTGCGTACTCGTCTGGAAGGTGTCGAGGTTGGGGTCGGACCCGGAATGTCCCGGAGTCAGACCGAAGGTGGTGTCAGAGCCGGAGGTGGGATAACCTCTTGGGAGTCGGCAAGGAGGAGGTGATGGAAGGGAAGTAAGACTCCGGAAGTCAGGTTCGGAGTTCCGGGAGCCCAGAGCGGAGGTCGGGATTGTATGGATATGACAGTAGGTTGTGCCCTGGATAGGGCTGGTTACACCACGGGGCTGTGGACCATAGGGGAGGGTCATGGGGACCCAGGTTTCCTTAGAACAAGAGGTCCAAGGAGGTGGAGGTGTGGTAGCAGAGGTCTGGAGGTGATGCAGATGTAGATGGGAGGCAGAGTGGGAGAGAGTTGGAGGAGGAGGTAGTCCTAGGGCTGTTGGCATTGACCAGAGGCAGCAGAGAGAGATTGGGAGGGCTGGTGGAGGTCATAGGAGTCATATAGGAATAGGGCGGAGGGAGTTGGAAGATCCAGGATATGACACCTGCCCTGCAAGTCCACCTTCAGACTGCCCTCTCCATTCTCCTTTTGGGTTGTTGCCTGCTAACCCCATAACCCAAGTCGCTGGTAATATTCAGTTGACTAACCCTTGACCCTGTTATGTCAGCTCCACCCAGCCCCTGCCATTTATGGGCCCCCACCTAGACTTCCCATGTATCTATATATACCATACTTGTGATACTGGAAACCCTCAGTCAATAATCAATTAAAGTTTCCCCCTTTCAGAAGACTCTTCTGTCTGCAAATTAGGGCCCTGACATGCTACTGGGCACAGCACTCCTGGCTTGAGTTGCTGAGGCTGAAGCCCTCCAAACACTGAGTCGTACCTCCTTTTTGAATCTGGTCTTTGACAGTGCCCATGAGGGCATACTGGCAACAAGGTTAATGGCAGCTCCTTGAGGGAGCCATCTAGATGTGGGTTGACATGTAGATAGTTATCAAGTGGATGAGTAGTTGATGTGAGAATCAGTTGTTGGTGGGATGAATGACATGATGATGGGTAAGTACAGGTGAAATGGAGCTGTGTGAACTGACATCCCTAAGGATGATGACCTCCTCCTTGAAGGGGGAGGTAGCAGGTGGGTCTGGGCTTGGCCATAGGATGGAAACAGAGGATGAATGGTGATGTGCACGACTTGGAGTAGCCAAGCACATGCTATATGGAGCTGAACAAGAGTTGAGGCTATTGGCAGGGATGACCCATAATGGGGAATACTGAGACATGTACAGAGGCAGTTACAAGGTGGCACAGAAGTCTTACAGATGTTGCACAGGTGTGAGTTTGTGGTAGTAAAAAGATGGTAATTCTTCTCTCAGCTCCAGCTGTACATAAGTGTGACTCTATACTATAGAATAGAAAGGTTGTGGGAAATCCTGTGAAATATAATAAATAACTGGTGAGCACCAAAACCCCAGGAGGGGAAGGCTTAGCATGGTATTGAGGGGGGGCAGGGGAATGGGTGAAATGTAAGGGAAGTGGAAGAAGGGGGACAACAGATGAGATATGGCCTGCTAAAGTGGACTTTAGGTCAACACAGTCATGGGAGACTCCATTCTCATACATTAGGGGGTTTCACAGTTGACTGAAGTGCATCTAAACTGGATTCTAAATTACATCTAAAGTGACCCGAAATTTACATCATGTGGGGCCTCAGTTTGGAGCAACTTTAGGTTGAGTTTGGAACTTTGCACTAGGGTGTTCACAGTTCACAGTTCTAAAGTACATCCAAAGTAGTCAGAGCCGATCCAACCTAAGTCTGTTATCATGCTGTATTATGTAAGAACTGTACAGCTTGCTCTGCCACTCCTTGCATCACACACCTGTGGTCCTTGCATCAATCCAACTTCCAGTCCACAGCACTTTTCCTCCATTCATCCCCACTCACCTTGTACATACATCAATGTGCTTGTATCCCTGCCTGCAGTGACAACTCTGGAAATTATTAGTAGCCCATCATGAATCCCATATGACCAATCTGCCTGTTTATTAAAGCACCCTAGCTTGCGGTGAAGGAGCGGAGCTGGATCACCTTATGTAACCAGTTTCCTACGTCCAATAACAATAGTAGAGTTTGTGCTGATTTGCATACTGACCGTGTTTTGGTTGCCAAATATATAATTGTTCACTGTCTAAACAACAATAAACACCCCCCAACGATCTTACCTGACATATAGATTGTCTATGGATAAAATTCTATATTGACTTTACTATGATTTCTAGTCAATACTACACCTAGATTTACCACTTTTCAGTAGGACATGATTTTCCTGATAATTTACTGAAGGAAAACTACTGATAAAATAATTCCGCAATAAATGTTACTCAATACAGGAGTAACCAAACTGCTCTTTCTATCGCTTAGAGTGCGTGCTAGTTATCTAGCAGGTTCAGGATTGCTCACTTTTCTCCTGTGGTGTGATAACCAAGTATTGCTGAGAGATTATTCAATTAAGAAGTCCCTCCACCAAATTCTCACTAATTCTCACTATGACACTTTTGTTCAGCTGTGTCTAACTGACCCTAACTCACGCTTAGAGTGACGTGTTAGTTTTATATTAGCTAACAACTAATATTTGCTTTTATCTTTTGGAGCAAACGAACCAACCACTGGTGAGGAGAATTAAACTTTTATTTCTACCTAAGGTTTGAGAGGGGGCAGAAGCGGCGGCCTTTTATGCTTTTCAGAGGCCTCTCTACTCCCACGCCTCGCACTAGTTACATGTGCTACATTTGTATTATAGATAGTTCTAGAATGATATAGGGGCTTGGGCTGTGTAAGCTTAATAATGGACTTAGGACATGACTCAGCAATAAGTAATTCAGTTCTTTGTCTTTTGGGCCGATCTTAGCGGGGTCTTGTAGCGTTAAAGCTATGCTCTACACCGCCTTAATTACGAACAGTTACCTTTAGAAATGACTCAGCTATAAAGGACCTTTCTAGACTGTTCTCTAATTCACCCCTTTTTGTGAAGCTGCATCATTACTAATGTTCTAGAGCTTTCCCAATTAATTAACTGATCCGCGGACTTCTAAATCACTTTATGCTTATGATCCGAGATCCAGATCATCAATCATTCCTTTGTTCCGATTTATTTGAGCTTAAAATCAAAAAGTTTTGATGAATTATGGGAAAATATACAAGATCCGGTTTTTTAGCATTTTCTCCTCTTCTGATGCGATCAAAAACTGTCCGCCTGCGCCGGGAAACACTCTGTCATATGGTATTCGGTCCGCCAGACTTCCGGGCGCCAATATATCTCCCTTGAGTCACATTACTTTTTATAAGAATTAGCAAATAAATATATATGAACTATAAGGTGTTTCGCCGTTTGAGCGATATCTCCGTCAGTTGTGAAGCTTTTAAAATGAAGGAAAACCATGGATAAAGTTTAGAAATAGTCCTTTCAGATGGTAAAAAGATTACAGTCAAAAGTTTACTGGTTCCCGAGATATTCACATTTCTTTCCCAATGTTCCTTCTTATTCTGCTGTCTATGTGCTATTTTCTTGTTGTAGGGATATATTCTTTGAATATTACACCTATGCCAGGTTCTAGGCATGCTTGTAGTAGATTAAATCTCATGCTACATGGGTGTGGATAATTTATAATGATCTTCTAATGTCTGTCCAGTCTCATAAAGATCATGAGATCTGTTAAACATCTGAACTTGTCACCTGGTTGTTGACTATTCTGATAGATCATTGTTTTATTCTTTGAATATTATTTCTCCTACAGCGGCTCAGTCCCATGTTGGAGAATCAATAACATTCAACTACAATTGTGCAGCTACATATATGAACACAATGTGTGATGGTTACAGAAATGGGAAAATGAGTGGAGTTCAGTCTCATGTTGGAGAACCAAAGGAGAGTGAGCATAAATGCAGTATGAATGTGGCATGAATGTGGTGTGGATGTGGTGTGGATGTGGTATGAATGCAAAATCTGTACACCGCCCTGAGGTCAAAGTGTCAGCAACATGGGAGTTGGATAAAAAGAAGAGATATTAAACTATGGGCACATACCCTAAGCCCCTAGTGGCCTACACTATGATAGTTTTCATGGGAGTTCAACAGCATGTTGGTGACACAGCAGAGACAGTGGTGGAGACAACAATGTGAAAAGACAGGTCACCCTCGGGGCTCATGGACTTACCAGTGGTAAGTCCGAGTTTAGATCCAGTTAAGAAAGTTGACTTGGGGCTCTTGAGCCCCAAGTCAAAGTGGCCAGTTTAGATCCAGTTAAGGTCCAGTTTTGCCACCCATGTGCCACTTTAGATCCAGTTTAGCTCACTTCAGTCAACTGTGAAACCCCCTATTGGGTGGTGCATGTACAAGCAGCTCATTGCTCCTCTCTCACATAGCCCAGTCTCATGGAAGTTCACCAATGCCAGCCAAATCTCAAGGTGTAAAACAAGTGAGCAGCTGTCAGGGCCCGGCCTCTGTCCAGGGGCGGCCCTACCTCAGAACTGGACACTTGCGGTGTCCCAGGCAGCCAGGTGCTGGATCCTACCCCAAGCTCCTCAAACTCACTAAGCAGGGATTGAGTTGAGAAGAAGGGTAAGTTTCCCTATTCCCTGCTTGGCTACTATAAAAGGGAAATGTACTGTACAGTTCATAACGTGACTAAGGGTAGGAGCCAAGCATGTTCCTGTGATGCGGAAAAGGTGTCACATGGGTTAAGGTGAGTTGCTCACCTTGACCCACATGATTTTTCCCGTGGGTTTGCATGTGGGCTGTAGTTGTGAAAGGTGTGTAAAGATGGGAGGATCAGGGGAGTGGGGGAGTGGGGGGAGGTCAGGGAAGGTGGTTCTGGGGTTGTATGGCCAGGTGTGGTTGCCCTGACAGCAGCCACTTTATCATTGTAATGATATTCATGATTTATTTTTGTGCAGGCACCATACAATTTCTCTTCTAGCCCAATTCAAGATCATCACAAACAAGTCACAGCCAGCAATCATGATCAGCCCAGCCCCTCTAATGCAGCATCTGTCACAGTACATGGTGTTGCCAGTCTTGGGCCAAAGGCCTCTGTCAAGCAGAGTGTAAGGACCATTGAACATTTTCCCACAGAAAATGTTGGAATAGTTGGGAATTGAACCTGCATCCCTCTGGTGCAACAGTGCTATAACCCATTGAGCTACTATCCCTGGTCTCACCAACCACCATATCAGCAAAACTCTGTTATGTTCTGGAGCATCAAGAGTGGCTGGAGCATGTGGGAGACAAAAGAGCAGATTGGGCACTCCTGGAGCAAATAGTGTTCTCCTGGGAGGGGGTTCAGGAGCAGCTGGGAGTGGTGAGGAGTATGCAATGTGCCAGGAGCAGTGGGAGGAAATTTTGGTCTCTAAAAAGTTTTTAAAAAAAATCAGGAACTATAGTGCCTTTGGAGTGCTTTCAGGACATATAATTATTTGCAAAATTGAGGAAGAAATGATGGAGAAAAATGGAAAATATTTTTGGAGACCCAAGAAATAATGAGAACTGAATTGATGGGAAAGTCTGAAAATTGAATAGGACCATATATATAGATTCATTGCATCAGCAAAAAACTGTTATGCTCTTGAGTGCTCCAGAGTATGGAGAGCACCAGGAGAATCAGGAGATTGGCTGGTCCAGGAACAGCTCACACTTCTGCATTTCCTCCAGAGTTGGCCAGGTACTCCAGAGCACTTCCAGGAGGGCATGGAGCATTGCTTTGTGCACAAACATATCCAGTAAATACCATTTAAATGCTTCAAAGTGCATAGGGTGAGAAGCTTCTGGGAGCTCCTAGAGCATTTAAAAATGAAATGAAAAAAAAGCAGGAGGATTCCCCATGAATGTCTCCTACCACAAGACTAACACAACAAGACACTGCTTAACATTTGGATCAAACACTATACTTGTCATATCCCAGATCTTCCACCTCCCTCTGCCCTATCCCTACTCAACTCCTATGACCTCCACCAGCCCTCCCAATCTCTCTCTGTTGCCTCCAGTCGATGCCAACAGCCCTAGGACTACCTCCTTCTTCAACTCTCTCCCACTCTGCCTCCCATCTACATCCGCATCACCTCCAGACCTCCACCACCATACCACCACCCCCTCAGACCCCTTGTTCGAAGGAGATGTGCCTGCTTGTTGTTGATAAATCTCAACTTGCCCATCCACCCTCCTTCCTACCTCCAGTCTCTGCACCTCCAGTACCTCCCCATTCCTATTTTACCTCCAGTCTTGATAATCCTTATTGTTTTATCATTTGATATTTTCTACAACCCCAATCTTCCAGACTACAACTTCTGGGCTCCGGACCTTTCTGGATGCCTTTTCTCTGTAGTTCCCTGCTTGTTCATAGATGTTTCCAGACCTTGCCATTCAGTTGGCTTTTAATTCTCTCACTCCACAAACCTCAGATGTAATTCAGGCTTTTTGCCTATTCCTTATTTGTCTTGAGGATTCTTTTCTATTTACTTCCCCTTCCCCTTGTTTACCTTCGGATCCAATTGTTTCCACTATATGTACGCACATACCCCTCTAGTAAATAGTTTCCCCCAGTTATAATATAAACAGTCTTGAGCCCTCCAAAACCTCCTCCAGGATGTCTATCACGTCCCACTTGTCTGCTGCTCCAAAGAACTGAGTAACAGGCACTCCTAGAGACACCTTGGTATAAAACCCAAAAGAATTGTGTGATGAACGATTGACCCTTGCTAATGCCTCCTTCAGTAAGTAGTGAGGGGGGGGGCTTCCAGCCCCCTTCTGCTGGCAGCCTCGGTTCCTCTGTCGCCAGCTCCCGTGACAAATTGGGGACAATGAGAACGTACTGGGCACAGCACTCTGTTCTGAGTTGCTGAAGCTGAGTCCCTTCAACACCCCATCACCCTCGGAGCTCCGCCCCACCTCCAGTCTGTCTCCGACCCACTGTCGGATGACCCGGAACACTGAGCTCCACCCAACAGCATTGCCTGGATAGCAATCGGACCTATCCAAGGAACATCTTCTTGACAATACTATACAATATCAAGGACACTGAGACTCACTGATAAGCAATCAACATTTATGGCTGTCATATCTGTGCATACCCAATCTCAAACCGACTCCCAGACCTCCATCTTCACCACCTCCAGAGTCCTACCCTACCGCCATCTGTTCCGATATTCACCTTTGGTCCTGACACCACACCTGACACCACACCACCTCTCACCCCTCATGCCACCTCCACCCTTCTGTCCTTCTCCTACCCTATCTCCGTTTGCTCCAATACTCATCTTGGACTGAACATCACTCCTCTCACTCCTCCTCTTCCTCCTCATGACACCTCCACCCTTCTGTCACTCTCCTACCCTTCTCCCATCCACTCCAACACTCACCTTCGGACCCGACACCTTTCCTCTCCTCCACTCCTCACCCCTTTCCTCTCTCCTCTCTCTTCCCTCTGACCCTCTTCCGCCGACCCTCTGCCAAGTTATGACCTTCCACCGCTGTCCTGCACCCCATACTCAGACACCACTTGTACCTTCGCTCCGAGACTCTGTCATAGTTCCTACCTTGGACTTTGACCCCACCTCGGCTTTAGTCCATTGCATTGGTGACCTCATACTATGTAAACACCATTGCCAATATTCCTCGGACTTTCAACCCCACCTCTGTAACCTCTGTAAGCTCCACAACCTCCAAGCTCCATGGATCATCTTCAGCACTTTCGCCGCTTGTAATATATCTTTCGTGTTTTCCCCTCATCCCTATTTGGACTGCTGCTTCTTCCCATTCTAGCCAGTTAGTCATCATCCCCACTTCCCCTCATCCTCCTGCCCCTCTGGGCTTTGCCCTCCTTACCTCCTTTCGGTTGTACCACAGGTTCTGCCCTATGACCTTCGGTACCACTCCACTTCTGTCATCCCTTTGTTCCCGTTCAGACACCTTCATTCTGATTCGGACCCCCTTTGTTTCCCTTGTGCTTTCACCCTTTCCATTATATACCAGTGCTTGTACATACTCGTTTTAGGCCCTCAGTCTAAAATCGACCTGGAATGCCCCCTAGAGACTTCCTGCTTGCCACCTATGAAATTAAGGACCAAATGGACAAACAGCAATGGCACAGCACTCCGCTTGAGTCGCTGAGGCCAAGGTCCCTCCTTGCTAAGTCTCCAGTTCCCCTTCAGAATTGTCCACCCTCGCCCAGTTCTAACAATGGCCTGATATATGATTAATTTGGCAACTTAATCACTTCTGGGTGTCAGGGCTCGGTCCTTGATCAGGGACAGCCCGACCTCAGGCCTAGGTGTGTGCGGTGTTCCAGGTGGTTGGGCGCTAGACCCGGTCCTTAGCTCCTCAAACTCACTGAAGGGACTAAGCGGGGATTGAGTTGAGAAGAAGGGTAAGTTTCCCTATTCCCCGCTTGGCTACTATAAAAAGGAAGTGTACTGTACAGTTCATAACGTGACTCCGGGTAGAAGCCGAGCATGTTCCCGCAACTCGGAAAAGGTGTCACATGGGTTAAGGCGAGTTGCTCGCCTTAACCCACGTGATTTTTCCCGCGGGCTCACATGCGGGCTGAAGTTGTGAGAGGTATGTAGGAATGGGGAGGTCTGGGAAGGTGGTTCTGGGGTGTGGTTGGGTGCCCTGACAGCGGGGTCAGGGGCCGATCCCTGACACTGGGCTTGCAGAAGTTTGTTAGATATGGAGGAGGGGGAAATGGGGGGGGAAATGGGGGGGAAATGAGGGGGAAATGAGGGGAAAATGAGATGGAAATGAGGAGGAGAATGAGGGGGGAAAGTAGAGGGAAATGAGGAAAATTTGAAAAATGGGGACTTCTGAGAGGTGGAAAAAAATAATTAGGGAAAAATCGAAAAATTCAGGAACTGTACTGCCTTTGAAGTGCTTTCAGGATATATAATTATTTGTGAAATTGAGGAAGAAATGATGAGAACTGAATTGATGGGAAAGTCTGAAAATTGAATAGGAAAGTGAGGGGAAGCCTTTTCTGCAGTTCTGATTTTTCCCAATTCTTATTGGTCTCACTCCCAGCTGCTCCTCAATACTCCTGGAAGCTCCTGGGAGGGTCCAGGAGCAGCTGGGTGTCATGACTGACAAATCCTGGGGCTCCATCAGTGGCAAATCTGCTGACCTGAAACCCAACCTAACCAGCCCTCAATCCAATGTCTGGCCCCCTGCCCTATTGAGTGAGACTTGGCCAACAATCAGACCCCAGACCTTGCTGGCATTCCAACCTTCCTCCAATTCCCAAGGCCTTGGTGCTCCTGGCATTCAGTCCCTCCAGTTCCTCCTAGGCTTATGGCACAACTCAGCCTTGCCTACCCCTGCCTCATCTCCATCTGAACCATGCCCACCACTCTGCTATGTGGTCACAGTGTCAGGGCACTAGCCCCGAACCCTGAGCCATATGTAATTAAAGATACATATAGTCACATGGGTAAGCGGGAATGTTATGGATACGGAGTCTCCAACGACCATATCCGTTGCATAGTCACAGACTTCTCCTCTCTATCACTCCCCCTCCTTCTCCCTTTTGTCCTCTATCCCAATACCCTACCCTCCTTATCCTTTCTACCCCTTCCCCCCCCCTCGTGCAAAACTTTCCCCATTGGGGTTTTGGTGCTGGCCAAGGTTACTTGTGTTTCGCAGGATTTCCTGTGACCTTACTATTTGTAGATAGTCACGTGTCTTGTATGGAAACCGCTGAAGGTGGTTCCCACTAACTAACAACTGCTCTACAACTGTCTTGTGTGTCGTCTTCTGTAACAACCCTCCCTGTGACTCAACTGAACCCATGTGACTGTACAACTCTCAACATGTTTTATAAGTCTGGTTATATCAAGTCCTCTAACGGCCCTTGCCATGAGAACTCGAGGTTGTGAGTCGAAGACTCTCAACATGGTATCATCCTATGGAATCTGTACCCTATGGGTCCTCATCACTCCGCTCTCCCCCCAGTACTCGACATATGACGTCACATCACGATCATGGAGATCGTGAATACTCTGAGGCCCACTTTCCTGTGATGCCGGCATGTTCACTACATGAACACCAAGTAGCCGCCCATCCACCTGTCAGGGCACACACCCTGACTAGCCCGGACCCGGACC